TATATATATATATATATATATATAGACACACAGACACATTATCTACCATATTGACGTTTCTATGTTGTTTTCTCTACAACCGTGGAAGATTAAATACGACCACCACCGACTGAAACCATATTATCCAATTCCTTTCCTTTCTCCATCAAAGATTTATTCGTGAAAACATGAAACAAGAAAACAACGCCAAAGCCATATTAGCCATAGCCATGAAACTCTCAAAACCCATCGCTTATCTCATAATACTCTTGGTCACATACACTATGGGCTATCTCATCGCTTCTTCTTCTTCTTCTCCTCCTCCTTTTTCTTCGATTTCCGAGCTGACCAACTTGCCGAACCAACTCGACCACTTCCGGGTCACGACTCGTTGTTCGGACCGGCCGGTCCAGCCCGAGCTGGTTCGCCAAACGATCCTGGACCGGGTTTTCAACTCCAGGTCCCCATACGACAACTTCCCTCCCCCGCACGTGCGGGACCTCCTACGCACGAAGCGTGTCAAGGGATGGGGCTCGTACGGCGCCGTTTTCGACCACCTCGTACGGAGCGTGAAGCCACGGATCATCATCGAGGTCGGGACCTTCCTCGGCGCGTCGGCGATCCACATGGCCAACTTGACTCGCCAACTCGGTCTCCGGACTCAGATTCTCTGTGTCGACGACTTCCGGGGCTGGCCCGGGTTCCGGGACCGGTTTAAGGACATCGGGATGGTAAACGGCGACGTTTTACTGCTCCAGCAGTTCATGCAAAACGTGGTGTCGTTTAACTTCACGGAGTCGGTTTTACCCGTTCCATTCTCGAGCGCGTCGGCTCTGGAGAAGTTTTGTGAGTGGGGGATTTTCGGGGACCTGATTGAGATTGACGCGGGTCATGATTTTAACTCGGCGTGGGCGGATATAAACCGGGCGTACCGGATCCTAAGACCCGGCGGCGTGCTTTTCGGTCATGATTATTTCACGGCCGCCGCGAATAGAGGTGTCCATAGGGCTGTTACTTTGTTTGCTCAGTTTCATGGCCTAAAAGTTATGGTTGATGGCCAACATTGGGTAATTGACTCATCCTAATTTTGCATTTCTTTTTTCTTTTTCTTTTTTGTGTCTAAAAAGAATGAACATTGTGAATGTTTGTTGACTTGAGTTGTATATGTGGGTGAGTTAAATGTGGTTGAATTGTATACGTGAGAAAAAAATATTATAATAAAAAATTTAAATTTAAATTTTTGTAAGAAAAACATTATAGTAATGAATTGTAAAATGAACAAGAATATATATGGTGCATTTAGAACTCGTTTTAAAATAATTTTAGTCGTGTTTAAAATTGATCCTGTTTTTATTTTTCACATTTTTCAAGAAAAAAATGAAAATATTTTCAAAACGGCATTTAGAGCAATAAAGATAAAAAATAGAAATTAAAACGATTTTTTTATTTAGTGTAAAATGAGAGAGAAATGAAAAATAACTTTTAGTCGTTTTTCATTTTTTGTTTTCGTTTTTTCCCCTCTCGAGCAGGGAGAGAGAGTCATTAATGAGTTTTTTTACACTTAAAATAATCTCTTGATAAAACTACTAAACGCATTTTCAAAAATGATTTCTGTCTGAGATTGAAAACGTTTTCAATTTCATATGCATACAAAAAACAAAAATCATTTTGAAACGAGTTCTAATTTATTTTTTGTATGAAAATGAAAACGTTTTCAATCTCAAAGAGAAATCATTTTTGAAAATACGTTTGATAGTTTTATCAAGAGATTATTTTCAGTATAAAAAAATTCATTAATGTCTCTCTTTTTCTCTCTACTCGAGAGATGAGAAAATGGAAACAAAAAATAAAAAAATAACTAAAAGACGTTTTTCATTTCTCATTCAATTTACACTAAACTAAAAAATTATTTTTATTTTTATTTTTTATTTTTAATTGTGTCAAACGCTGTTTCTTTTCATTTTCATTTTTTCTTTCTCGAAAAATATAAAAAATAGAAATAAAAACAACTCCAAACACAGTTATAATTTTCTTACAGAGTGTGGACCCCACCTAATCGAACCATCAAGTGAGGTACATGCTCTATTAGAGAACCCGACTCAGCGTTCGAGAACGTTGTTTCTTATTCGAATGGCTATAGTCTAGTATGACGCATGTCTTGAGTCACAAATTTGGACATTATTAGAGCCCGTTTAGTTGGAGGATTCGTTCTCTGATTCGAATTATGGTTCATGATTCACTACAGTATTTTCTCTTATAAAAAATACACGTAAATCGAAAATAGTTCTAATTTATGAATCAAACGGGCTCTAAGTTACATTTTGAAAGATTTGTGAACTTTTGACAAATGAAGTGTACAGGTTGAGTTATTGGTTCTCACGTAAATTCTCATGTAAGTTCTTGCGCCATTTTATAGATGAAGTTTTTAGCAGAGAGACAAAAAAGAAATAAGAAATTATTCGTATTAATGAATTTTTTTTTTTTTTTATATGGTTTAGAAGAGGGTGGAGTTTATGCAATTAGTAGTTGTTGGGTCCTTGTATTAGTGACGTCAAAGATATCATGCCGCGAATTGATTACTTGGGAAATTGCGGATGAGAAAAACTGCTTTCGTTCGTTTCTTATAATTCTTGCTTCATTTTTGGCGATATATTTGTGTTTTGCTAGGTCCTAAAAGCAATTATTAGCGGTTGTTACTATTTTCCTTCTTGGACATTTTGTTGGGTGATTAGGAATTCAGCTATTATGTCAGTCAACTGTTCTTGTATTTTAGTCTGGGATCTGGTTTAGGGAAAAATAATTCTGATTTTCAAGAAGTAAACCTTACAGATGCTCTGCCGAAGAGTCAATTTCGAGATTAATGCAAGTAATCATCTAACCAAATCAAATCTTGCTGTCAATCTGATTAGCAGTATATGATTTGCCAGTTGACTAATGAATGATTTAACTATAGAAAAAATAAACAAGATAGTTTTTTGTGATTACTGATTAGTGCATTTTTAGCCGGTTTCAGGTAGCCTTTTAAATGCCTATTTAGTTGGAGGATTGAGGTGGCTTTAAACCCCAAAATCAATTTAAAAATCTTGTTTGGTAGCATAACAATTTGAACTTGAACTTAGGTTTAGGGTTCATTTAAACTCAAAAATGAAGGTTGAACTCAACTTTACCCCTTAAAATTCTTACCCATTAAACTGTTCAAAACTCAGGCCAGAGATTCCTACCAACTATTTTCATTAACATTTTCTTAAAACCCCATAGTTCTATTAATATAACTAAATCCTACTTCAAACTTTATTCCGTGTTTAAGCCTTAAACTATTAAAAGCCAGTTCGAACTACAAAAAATACACATATAGGTTCAAAATCACACAATTCGAATTCGCGAAGCAAATCTAGCCTAACCTAAGTAAATGTTCCTCATTTTCTTAAATTAGTTAAATGGACGATTTTATTAATTAATAAACATAGAAAGTCAAAAACACCCATCCTTCTTACCTCAAACTCCTAGCCCTCAGCCACCACACAAACGCAGCAGAGAAACCCTAGCTTTTCTTCCTTCAGTAGAGCCACTATGCCCACCCTAAACCTAAGAAACCTAGAAGCAACTCTCTCTTTCTCGCTTAGGAGTAGCTGGGCCAAAGCATTAAAAACGACCAACCACTTAATTTTTGAAAACTCTGACGATAGTTTAAGGTGGGTGGAGAAAACTGCCACCTACCCTAATCTCTCTTTAAACTATAGGGATATAAGGATATAGATGATACATAGATTTAAACAATAGAGTACATTTGCTTTGCTTTGATTATTAGATTGAAAAAAAAAAAAAAAAAGCAAGAAAAGGAATAAACGTCCCTTAAAAAACAACGATTATAAGGGTTGATTATTTGATTATAAGGGTTGTTGTTTGCTGTCTTTACTTTTTTCTTTCTTCTTTATAAGAAACCACGAGCAATCATGTTATTTAATTATTTTTTTTAAATGCGATGTGGGGATGGATACACACATAGACTCACCCACCCAATCATATTGAGCTAGCCTCAAGTGAGTAAGTGACGTTGTCGTTTAAGTTTTTTTTTTTTTTTTTACCGTATGAGCAACACTTAAACGACATATAATTTTATGAAAAAGGTCGCTCTTATTTCTATTATTATTAGAAAAAATTGTTGAACTTACCCTTAGAACTAAATTTACCTTATATAATCTTGATTAATACTATTTGCTTAAAAATTTAGACTCAGAGTATTTTGTCTCCTTTCCCTTCTCCATAAACATGGCATTTGTAGTTTCAGTTTTAGCATTTGATGAGAACATAGTCTTTGGCTCTTTGCAGTTTGATTTTATATCTCAGTTGTCAACAAGTAGCTAACAGTTTTCCTGTCGTTTGTAAATAAACGACAAGTCGTTTCAGTAAAAAGGTGCACGTTCCAACCTTTTTTGTTCCTCCTGTGAGGTTCACTGAGTTAAAAAAAGGGCACTTTTTTTGTGTCTTTTTTCCTTTTTTTTTTTTTCCGCTAAATGTTAAAATAACACACACACACAATTGGGGTGTCTAAATGTTTATTGTCGTTTAAGTCAACAAGTGACAAGTCGTCTATTTGTGAGCAACTTGCTGTTTTTATGATGGACAACTGGACATAAGATTTGTTTTTCTTTTTTCTTTTTTTCTTTTATAAAAACGACATGTCGTACATATGAAAGGGAAGGCAGAATCATTCAGTTCGATGCATCCATAATTAAGTAGAATATCAGAGAACAAAAGTCGTTTTACATTGGTCCGAACCACTTACATTGCCAGCACAAATAGATGATCAGAAAGCATGAGTATTGATTAAAAAAAAAAAAAGCAACTGATAGGAAAGGAAACACTTCAAGTATGAAATTACTGGACTCAACTTCTTGGCACTTCGAGTTCGAACTAGATCTCACAGAGAAATTCTTATTAATCAAAAGCAAAGCTCAGAAAAATATAATTTCAGATCTGAATATACAGACAAGCCTCAAACTAAAAGCTAGCAGGCCCAATCAACGCCAAAAAGGCAGTAGTTTTAAGGAAAAACTAACCTTACTAGGACTACATCTACATAGTCCTTAAAATGACTCTAAACAGAAATACAACTCCAAACCTTACTAGGAAATAACAATGTATAACATATTTATAATATAAACGTATATATTTACTATATATAGTATAAATGTACCGCATGTATGTTTCACATCCTATATATACTCGTTTCAGTACAGAGGGAGAGATGCGGCCCGCGCGCTGCAGCAGGCGTGCGGCTGCGCACCAGCCCCTACCCAAGACTGCTCTCGGGCATTTTTTACCCCATTTTACGCGGCGGTTTGTGCGGGTCCTTACCCTCGTCCGTGGCTCATCCTAATAACTTCTAAAACTCCAATTTTTTTCCTTTTTTCCACCTAATTTCTCATTTATTAATAATTGCTATAAAAACACATCAAACTAATAAAAATGCTTGAGAGCTAACAAATATTTGAACTCAAAGATACTTAATTTGTCGGTAAATAACCTCCTCATCACTGATTATGGCGACCGTTTAACACTATATTATCTTCTAAATATCATATTTATCTTAAAATTCAGGCACCGACTCCGACGACCGTTTAACACTGTATTTACCGGTAAATACTGTATTTATCATATTTATTTGAAAATCTGAAGACCGGCTTCGGCAATCTATAAATACCATATTTTTAGTTAAATATCGTATTTACCATATTTATCTAAAAATTAGGCAACCGGTTTAGACGACTGATAAATACCCTATTTACCGGTCAATATCATATTGCCATATTCATCTAATAATCCAGCGACCTGCTCTGGCGACTGGTAAATACCGTATTTATCGATAAATACCATATTTAGTAGTAAATATTATATTTATCATATTTATCTAAAAATCTGACTACTAGCTCCGGCGACTGTTAAACATTATATTTACTAGTAAATACAGTATTAAACATATCAAAAATTAGATTCAGTAAAATATTTACTAGTAAATATAGTATTTACCAGATTAGAATTGAATTCAATGAACAATTTATTGGTAAATACAATATTTACCAAATTTCAAATCTACAATCAAAAAATAAAATCACAAACTCAGACTCTACCAAATGTTAATTAGAAAATGCGAGTTTTGGGATTCATTTGTCCAAATTTTCAAACTGGCACCCGACT